TAGAAATGTGAGGTTTCTAAAGCCAAACCAGCTGTGCATTCAGACAGAGCCCAATTTCCTAACAAGAAAATGGCAACGAAGAATCAGGTTAAATGAGTGCAAAATGCAGTGATTTTGTAAAATTCCAACAGCTTGCAATGATTCAGCAGCTCCAGGGGAAAACTGCGTTCGGTCCCACAGTATGTAAGGCTGAATCATGGCTAATGATTTAACATGGATATTTGATTCAGATTCCATTTTCAGAATTATAAGATGAGCAAACAGATGCCCAGCACCCTTAATTTCAGGGGGATAACATATTGCAACTGCAATTAAGCATAGTTTCTATATGAATATGTAAAATATTTTACAGAAAAATGTGAGAGTGATCATTTATAGTTTGAAACAGAAGTGAAAATTTTGAATTGTAAACCTTATTCTTTTAACTAATACATACAGACATAAAAACTGCACTTAAGGGTTACCATGTGATGTTTCAATACCTGTATAGATTGTCTGATATTAAAATTCATCTCTATTTCCTCACATACTTATTGCTTTTTTATGGTGAAAATACTCAAAAATCCCAGTTAATTAATGAGAGAAGAAAAGAGAGGAATATATTACTATTTTTGGTTGGAATTTGTCTTAGTTACTTTTCTCATTGCTGAGACAAAATACACAACACTCAATGTTAAAGGTGGAAAGGTTTAGTTCCCAGTTTGTAGAGGTTTCAGTTCATAATCGCCTGGTTTCAAGGCAGGATGGCACATGGCAGAGGGGCAACAGTTCATGGTAACAGAAGACAGCAAAGGCAAACAAAGGAAAGGAGCAGATGATCCTCTTTTTGTCCCTTATACTGTGTGCAGGCTGCCTGCCCTAGGATGGATGTAGCACTCACACCCTTAATCCCAGCATTGGACCGTGAATCATTCACAAACTCTAGATTCAGCCACCTCTGAAAAGCCTTCCCACCATGACTGCATGAAGCTTGGGGGGTTATTTAGATGCAAATAAAACATAAGTATAAACACGAGTTTTGCAAAGCCAGATCATGCGTAAGTGTCTTTTTCATTCCAAAAGACTGATCTCTGGAACTGACTAACGGGGTTGTATTTTCAAATATTGTATTCTTTACACTTAGAGAAAGATAAAGACCAGGCAACATGGGACAGAGCTTCTGGAAAAAATCCAATGGAGCTTCCACTCAAGTGATACAACTAGAATTAAAACTAATGACCAGGAAATCTATAATCATTCCTATTTGGTCTTGGAAGTGATTATCGTATAGTTTCAGTGAGGGGGACATATATGAGTCCCAGACTTGGTTCAAAGACAAATTTCTGGGAAGGAAATGGTAACTGCTAGACAAAAAAAAATCTGTTTCCCTAGTTGAATTGTTGGGAATATTCACCCTTATACTGATACTATTTTTAAAAAGAAATACACAGTAGAATTTGAAGTGAAATATTTTAACCTACTTCCCCTAGAGTGGAGTCTAAAAATATAAAGAAATAGAAATGAACTTCCCTGAACTATGTTCCTTTGAATGTTACTGTCTTTCAAAGACACTGAGAATTTATGAATTAAATTAGATTAAACAGGGTTTTTTTTCTATTGGAAGAATCCTAATACGGTCCCTGAGCATCCCTGTATATTTTGTCAGATAAGCTAAGATTGCAAGATCCTGGTTATTCATTCCCATTTTCTCTTATAATTGTGTATGTAGTAAGGATCCTTGCAGGAGGCAGCCTTGGGGTATGTCTCACTCTGGGAGAAGAGCAAGCTTGTTAGAATACAGATGTATTTCCCAAGTTTAAAAGTGGATTTAGCTGCATTGCAAACCTATTGCATGTACAGCATCTGTTAGTGCCCACTGCGTACATGTCCTCCAGGGTGTCCGGGGGTAAGAGAGCCCAATGCATACAGGACACCTGTCTTGCTTGCGGTGCTACAATAAAGTTCTTTGTTTCTGATGCTGTAGTCTTGTGTCTTCTGCCACTATTCAAGAAAAGGTGACAAGCTGTCTTGTTAGCTTGGAAGTAAAATAAAATCCTTAACCTTGATAGTTACTATGGAATCCCATTGGACCTTTAATCTGCTAAAGCCATTATGACTTTGCAAGAGGATTGCATGGGACAAATCATTTCCCACACTTCTTTGATCAAGCAAATTCATTCTTTTATGTAACAATGAAAAGAACTAAGATTTTGAAATACTTGTCTCAGAAAACCTTGTTCTAGGAACAATTCTGCAGGTCTGGATAAAATTTGCACAGAATTTGAAAAGATCTACCTTTCCAAATGTACCTTTCTATGGCCTGCTATGCTACCCTCGTTTCCTACCATTGTAATGACTGTTAGAGTGAAATGTGCTGTTTCCAGAAAGCTCATACTGAAACACAGGCGTGTAACCTGCAGATGTGGTCTAGGAGCATATCAACACCTCAGTACACATAAAAAACCTTTACCAATTTTTCTCTTTGTATTTCAGTTAGAATGCAAATTTTCCATTCTTATCAAGTTAGTAGGTAAAAAGTTGAACAGTGGGTCTCTTAAATGAAGTTTGAGTCAACATCATTTTGAGGAGAAACTAATAGGGCATACAGTGAATATTTTTAAAAACCTCTTTGTTTCTAAGAACACTTTTGGAATGCGTCAACACAGAACAAGCAGGGTTCTGATTTCAGCCTCATAGTTTCTGGCTCTGCCTAATGCTAGCCTCTCTTGTTTGATGTTATGCTCTTTAAATTTATGTTTTCTTTTATTGGTTCTTGCTTTGTTTTAAGCTGGAAAATAGGAGCTCAGTATTACTTTCCATTATGATCATTTCTGCTGGAAGACAATGCATATTCTAATGTTCTTTACTCACAACTTTCTAGAAGCTGTTTATCACAGTTGCTTAACTCGTACAAGACTTCACTATGTTCTCATCACCACTTGAGAAAAGTTATTCAGAGAGAATGTGCTAAGAGTTTTTGTATTTTCTCTCTTTAAAAAATGTACTCAGCATGCAAACAATTGTGCTACTGAGGAACTGAGATGTTTCCATTAAAAAACAAGTCATTCTTTGCTGTTCACGTTTTGTTTTATATTGGAACAGAATCTACCATTATATTAATCTTACAGTGACATCTCAGAGACTATCATGCTAACGCAAGCAGAAACACTGAAATGACACCTGGATTTGGAGGCAGATTTATTTACATCAAGGGGTACTAGTTGGAATCATTCCCTAAATATCAGGCGCTAATCTCTGGGGGCCTAGGGCTTATATGATAAGCAAGCAGAGAGGCAGAATGCCTTGTCAGTTGGGGATTGGTTCTTACCATGTGCATCATAGTGACCAGCTATGCATCGCGGAGGACAATGGTTTCTAGGAGACGGAAGCAACTGGAACTGTAACAGGATCTGTTACCTGGCAACTAAGAAGCTGAAGTAGAGTGGCTGAGGGGACATTTTCTGATAATGCCATGCCGGAAGAGTTCTCAAGAAAATTACATGAGATGTTTCAGAATAGCCAATTAAAGTTGCTTGTGTTTTGCAGTTAGCTCTAATATAATGTATTTATTCAATACCTGGTGTCAAAATAAGAAAAAAAAAATAAAAAAGATTGGGGATATAGCTCCATGTGAAGGACCTGGGGTTAATACCCAGTACTGTAAGAAAAATTTAAAAAGAGAGGAAAATGCATTTTGCTGGGAATTAAGAGCTGGTAGCAGAAGGAGGAGTTACTCTTCTGTAGCCCAGCGTTTCTCACATGCAAGGCAGGTCAGTGCATCAAAGAGCCCCATCTTATGAGCCTGGAAGGCCGCTGCGATGCTGGGAATCACCCCACTCACTGCATTTACTCACGAAACCTCCCTCACACTCAGCCTCCCTCCTGTCTCTTTCATAGATGCCCCGTGTTCATCCTCTGGCCCTCCTGGCCTTGATTATGTGACATCTCAAGGGCTGTTGATGCCTCACCCCAACCCCTTGGACCTTGACACTGTATCCACATACTGGAGAGACCTTCCACCACCAGTGCTGCGTCTCCTGCAGGGGGTGGAGGAGGCGTCTCCAGACACTGAAACGCACATGATCCAGCTCTTTCCACCTGTGATGCCTGAGTCTGGGGTGTGTTCTATAATGGCCCTGTAATCTCCCCGGCAGGGCAGAGCTCCGTCACTTGCGGTAGTAACTGCCTGATAACACATTCTTTAACTTCCTTTATTTTCCTGTCATTTCTCCATTCTCATATCCACATTTCTGGAATCATTTCCTAAGTAAGTACTTATATCTTTATTTTTAGATCTGTTTTTGGAAAACTCAAACCAAAATACAGACCATAGATTTCCTTCTTTCTTGAATTATTCCAGTCTACATGCAGTGCACATCTGCCTTACCCCAAGCTTGGAAGTCACATGCATTCCTGCTGTCCATACCCTGAAGTGAGGGCTAGAATCATGTCGTGGTATTTATACCGGACGTGGAAGCCAGGACTTTATATGCGATATACTTTTCTTTCATTATCCCTCTAGGTAAGCTGATACAAATGTGCTAATGACTCAGATCTGTGTCAGGCCAGAACTTTCTCTCAAATTTTGCGCATGCGTATCAATGATCTATTTTTCAGTTGGATATACACACAGCCAGCACACTTAGCATAGCATCCTGGAGCTCCACATATTTCCTGTTCACCCCCTTTCCTCCCAGGCTTCCTGAACCATCATCCAATTGCTTGAATCAGATGGCAGGGAACACACCTGACTCGTCTCATTTAACTCAATGTTATATGGGCGTGTGCTCAGCTATAAGTAACAGAACACTCAATTTGCGATTATTTAAATGAAACTTCATTCTTTATCATTCCAAGTAGGTGGGGTGTCCGTGGTATTGATTCAATATCCCCAAAAATGTCCAGCTATATTTCCACAAGTCAGTTAGTGTCCCCCCCAGAGCAGAACTGCATCAACTTCACATTTAAGGAAAACACACAGTAGAGGAGGCAGCCATGTGAACCTTTTTATTTTTTTACAGAAACTACAGCTTTGCCTGAAGAACCTCCCAGAAGACTGTGCTGTAGCTCACTTGCCAAAACAGACCAGACAGGCACCTCAGCTCCACAGGAGACTGCAAAACAGGGAACAGGTTCACCATGCTTTCAGGATCTTGTGCAAGATCGGTTATGAACACGTGGGCAACTCGAAAGTCTGGAGCTGCTTTAGCACAGAAAGCAAAGTTGTTGTGAGTCAAATAAATAGTTCAGAACATCTGCAACAAAGCCCATTCTTCTTCCAGTCTAACATCAGATTGGGTCTGCTCACCCTTAGACATCTCTGAAGTGATCTGTCCCTTCACAGCTATGCACCCCGCTTGGTGCGTGCTTCAGTGTAGATCCCGCATCTGTTCACAGGAGTACAGCAGCAGGCTGCTGGTCATTGTTTCCCTGCCTTCTCTGCTCCGGCATCACCCAGAGTGAGGCCTCGTGTTGGTAAAGCTGAGTCTATGAGTGACAAACACCAGGCTGGTTTTAACCTGTGGCCATCTTGTGCCCAGTGCCCACCACTGCCACCCTCTCGCCACTCCCAGTTTCTCACTTGGAGTGTCTCACATCCCTCATCTCCGTGCTGGGACGGTGGCTCCTGTATGTGTTCTCAGTAGCTTATCAGTGCTTATAGCACACTTTGTTATCATCTTTCATTAGATGAGTCCACTAACACTATCTGAGGGACTTTCCTGACAAGAAAAACATTTGTTTCATTCATATCAGAGTCCGTCTCACCCGGCACAGTACCTCACATCAAGAATTCAATTAATACTTATGTTGAATAAACAGATTGATGGAAGAGTATTTGCATATTGCTGTTAATTGGAAAAGTCAGGTAGTAATTATTTCTCTAGTCTCTGTAATATGAGAATGAACAGAAGACTGCATACAAAGTTATTGGAAGGGCAGACTGTGTCCCCAGACAGACTAACTCCACAAGGTCAACTGTGTGACCTTGGCGAATTAATCTCCTTGTGCCAATTTCATTATACACACAAGATAAATAGTGATAATACTTACTGGTTGGCTAGAAGGATTAAAAGAGTTAATGTTTGCAATTCTAAGTTAATGAATAGATCTGTAGCAGAAACTTTGAATATTATATTTTTTCAATAAATTAATAAGGCAATCATGACTCCTCTACCAACAGAATTTAGAGTCTAGGTCAGTGCTAACAGAAACACAAAAGGAGCTACAAATGTAATTAAACTTTTGTAGTAATCCTCCCCCCTCAAAAAAGTCCAATTGAATTGTAAGTACAAAACATTTTGATAAATGACTTAAACCAGTGTAGCAACATATTAATAGTCCAACATGCAATTAGTCTAAAAAGTTACTGAGATATTTCATATTCTTTATTTTGCACTCTCTTCGAAATCCAGATTGCCTTTTATAAATACTTGTAGCACACTTCAGTTCACATGTATACTTTTCTCTGACAGTTCTAGTCCATAAAATTACGGTTCAGAAAGTAGACTCATATGCTCACGTTGTTCCAAACATACTTTAAAATTTCACGGTAACCGAGAGTCATGCTTAAATTTAAATTTATCATAATGGGTAAAATTAAATGTTCAGGTCCTCAGTCACACTGGTTACATTTTAGTGTTCAGGCAAAAAGGTGTAAGGAAGGGTGGGTGGAGGCTGGATAAGATCAAAGTGTATTACACACAGATGAAAATTAATAAAGATATGTTTTTGAAGAACAGCCACAATATTTAACAGGACCAGAGGAAATGAAACCAGTACCCAGACGGTTGTAGAATGCGGGTAGGTGCTGTGTCAGGGTGAGGACTGAGCACTCTGGAGCATGCTGTGGGTACTGATGCCAGTTGGCAGAGGGAATTCATCCCAGAAACATTTTCTAGAGAAAATGCAGTTTATCCTGAGACATCAATAACAAACTGGATCTATCTAGATGATAAGGAAGCAAATATGTCTATCAGAAGGCAGTACTGGAGATGTGGGAACAGGTAATACCGTCACAGAGCTGAACGGAAAATCAGAGTGACTGGTGCTTGGGGTGTGTGTGTGTGTAGAGAGCAGAGATGGACTAAATAGGAAGAGTAAAAAGCAGAGGAAGGCTAGACAGGAGGGAAGGGAGAAAATATGCCAGTTTCATGAGGCAGGTAGAAGGCCAGACTGTTTTGAAGGCAAAAAAAAATGTCACTTAACAATTAAACAGATTAGTTATGGTATCATCTACATTTATTAGAGATCATTCTGATTATAATAGAAAAAAGTTAAAAGATAAAAACCAAAGTGAAACATCTCATATCTACTAAAGTGGCTACTATGAATATCCTAGGAATTAATAAATATTGGTGGTGTTATAGAGAAATTTGGAAGCTTTTCACACTGTCCACATGCATATAAAATGGCGTCATCACTATGGGACACAGAATAGAAGTTGCTCCAAAAGTTAAGGATATCATTAGCAATAACTCAGCAATGCCACTTCTGGGTTTGTACCGGGACCTTGAAGACATAGTTGTAAGTCAGCCAGGCTCCCTGCAGCCTGCAGCGTTCTTCACAGTAACTGAACTGTGTGAGTCACCCCACATTCACTGGCAGACAAACATATAAGCAAAATGTGATCTTTGCGCTTACAATGGAACATTTTTCCATTGTAAGGAGGAAATCTGGCTTATGTTCCAACATGAATGCATCTTATGCTTCACTTATGCTAAGTGAAATAAGCCAAACATAAAGACAAAAATGCTCTTTAATTATATTTACAGGAGGTTTCTAGAGCCATCAGATTCATAGGGACAGGAAATAGAATGGTGACACCAGGGACTAGGGAAGGAAGAAGGAGAAGCTACTGTTTAAGGTTTATCAAGTTTCAGTTTTGTAAGATGAGGTATAAGATGAGATGGTTGGTGACAATGATTGCACAAAATACGAATGCAGTTAAATTACTAAATCACTAAGATACTCTTTCAAATGGTGAATATGGGAAATTTTGTGTATTGTGACAGAATTTTTGAAAACCAAAAGCAGTGATTGTGGATCAAGGTAAAGAGGTTAATGTCATCATGGCAAGCAAAAAATAAAGTGACAAAAGTTGCAATGAATAATAGGAATACAGACAAAGAGAAATGAGCCCTCGGATATCAGTTGCATGAGTACAATTAATAAAACTTCTTAGCAGTTAGTTTAGTCATGAGTGAGGAAGAATTAGGAGCTAAGCTGCTTCCCAGGTTGGTAGTGAGACCAACAGAAGTGATGGGACTGACAGATAAAGAACAGAGAGGGGATGTAGGCTTGGCTGGAGCTGAGAAAAAGGGAAATCGTTGATTGGGAGGTGCCTGCTGGAGATCTAAGAGGGGTTGTCTAGCAAGGACCTGGAAAAAGAATTTCTGGAAACAGATCTTGGAGCCTTTCAGGAAAAGAACAATCAGACCTGTAGGAGTAGATGATCACTAAAGATAGGCGATGGAATATAATTTGTCTGCAGCACAGTTCCCTTTATTTTCTTTTGAATAGGTTTCCCCTTTTTCACCAATAGTCTGCATGATTAGAAGACAAGTAGAAAGCAGTGAGGGAGAGTAACGAGCCACAGCCTAACCTAGGAGAGTGAGCATGATTAACGACATGTACAGGAGCCATGTGTACATATGGCACCCAACAGCAATGGATTGAAAAATAAGAAAATAGAGTTCTTGACACTGTCTTGTTACTGCCGTGAAGATGAGAGCATAAAGGCCTGAGAAAGGATCCAGCATGTAAATTTATAAGGAAGAAAAATTTTGTTTATTTTATGCCATTGCAGAGTACAATTGGGGTCCAGCCTTGAATGTAGAAAGACAAAACACCGGACATTTCAATTATTACATGAGCCAATTAATTGTAATGTTTTCTATTTTACTTCCACTTTGAGTTGAACTTTCTGTATTTGCATCATAATATAGATTGTTCTCGCTTTGCATCATACTGCAGGACCACTAAAATGACTTTGGAAGCTGAAACCAGGTAAAGAGATTTGAATACTCAGTGGGAAAAATTACACCTGACCTGCGACAACTTTTGAACTTTTTTGTTGTCAAAACATTAAAATGTCTCTTACTGTTAATGGATATAAAACAATAAAACTAAGTTTGTTTATTCTGCTGAAATTAAAAATATTAGAAACACAGAGGATTCAAGTGTCTGATTCCTTTATTCTAAAAATGTACCAAAAATAGTTCAAGCACTTTTTGATATCTTCTTTTTAGTTAAAGGTGTTTTCCAATTTTTGGTGCCCTATCACACTCCTTTATCAACTTGGACCAGCTTCTAACATTTTTTCTGTTTTCGATGCTGTGGAATATTCTCTGACTGCCTTTAATTTGAAGGCTTTTGATTTGCCAGAGCAACTTCCTCAGGGACATCTTCATTCCTTTTGTCATAACCACTTTCCTCAATTGTGTTTACACATTTGCCTTCATGAGATTCCTGTGGCCGCATTGCAGACTTCTGAATATGGACAGGGTTGACACTGTCATGGTCAGACCTTTCTTTTATAACTCCATTTGTATTTTATTTGAATTCTGCAAACTAATGTGTTTCTGGAACAAACACTGAAACCAGCTTTCATGGGCAGTAGAATGTCCCTCTTCAGCCGTTTTGTAATTCTTGTTTTCTTTCAATGTACCTAACATCAATCTGTGGTCTACAGATTGCAGTCAAATTGATTGGATTTTTGCTTTCATTATAACCTTAAATCTAAAGTAGAAGCAAATGCTTCCTTTCCATCATAAGTGGATTTCTTTTGTAAAGACAATTTAAACTAAACAATTTGGGTGTCAACGTACTTTTTTTTTCCCTGACTATTTTGTGTTATTGTTCAGCAGCTCCATGCAGCCCTAGGGCTTTCTGTCTCTACTTTCATATCTGCTAATCACACCCAATATCACTTTCAGTGTTGTCACTTTTACTTTCTTTGCTGAATTTTCATTTTTGTGGGCCTATTTTCTCTACTTCTAATTTTTGTAAAGTGTCCAAAAGGGTCTAACACTAGGAGGCAAAGGAGGTGAGCTAACCACAGGATTTGCTGTCTGTACATAAACTCAATCATGGGTGTGCAGTGACCAACCACTAACTGATTTTGAAAAAAGTGACATGATCGGTCATTGATCATGATGTAGGTTAGTTATGTATGTGGGCATTTGTGGACTGAAGATTTAGCATTGAAGTTTATGCTGTATGCACCTTCTCATAGTTAATACATGTGTAATGAAATTTGAGCTGTATTATTGGGAGCTGGTATTACCTAACCAGTAGTAGATGAAATTTGCACAACTCAGACTTATTCAAAGTAATGCTTTTCCTTATTACCCAATGCAGAACTTTTTCAAAGACAGAAAAAGAAGAACAGAAGAAAGTCTACTTTAGGATATTAAGAAAAATCAGCATTTAAGAAATGAGCAAAAATGAAATCTTCTCAGTAACTCAGAAAGAGTAGTCAAAGTAGCAGGATTTTTAGTCTATTTAAAAAATTATGCAATCGTCCCCGTTGTGTAATTACAGAATGTTTTCTTCAATGCCAAAAGAAACTTCACACCCTCTCTTCCCCATGCCCAGTCCCTGGGAACTACTAATCTATATGTTAACCTCTCCATGGTTTTAACCACTATTGGTCCTTCCATGTGGCATCAGGCTGTAATTGTCCTTTTGTGACTAGGTTGGCATGTGTCTGGGATTCACCCAGATTGCAATGTGTCATAATTATCTTCCTTTAAAAAAAAAATCCCTTTATTTCAATGTACCTCTTTTTGTTTATCCATTCATCAGGTGACAGACATTTTGTGTGCTTCCACCTTAGGGCTATTATGACTAGTGTTGCTGTGAACACTTGCATACAAGTTTTTGTGTGAGCATATTTTTAAAATATTCTTGGAGAAATACTTAGGCATAGAAAAATTTCTGGGTCATGTAGTGACTCCAGCCACTTAAGAAACTTCCAGACTATTTCCAGAGTGGTTGCATCATTTTACATATCCAGCATCAATGTGTGAAAGTTCCTTTACTTCTTTTTATAAAAAAAATCCTATATGTCCAATATTGCCTTTCATTTTACTCCAATTCTCTAGTTTCTCTCCTTATTTAGCTAGTACATTTTTCCTTGCATTTTTACTTTCTTGTTCCACTTGTGTGAAACTTACCCTTTAACTATGCAAACAATAAATTTTCCTCATATTGTGTTTATCATTTATCATATCCTCATCCCATTATATAGAATTTATTCAAATAACTGCGAGCATTAGTTCTCTCATGTTCCACATTATCTATTTATCCTGTTTATATCAAGAAAATCTAAAGATAGGTAACTATGCTTACAATGATGACTTTATTTACCTTTCTTTCCTCCTGAATTAAGTTCAATTTTTGAATAAACACCCTACACAGTAATGTTAGATGTAGAAGGTGCAAAGTAAAGAAAATTACTCTTTTATTTGGGAGAAATGTCTATTTGCCCACTCCTGAGGTCCTTCACAAGATTTTGAACCTTCACAAGTTGTCACGATTCTAAATTTCAGTTGGATTTATCTCTTACTCACTTGCAATCATGGACCTTTCAAAGCAGCTAGAGAGCCTTTTCCTTCCTGTGTTTCATATCTATCTACGTACAACCCTTGATAAGTGAGCAAACATGGCACTCATGCAAAGGTAAGATGACCACAGTTTTAAGGTTACATACATGATTGCACGGAGAGGAAGAGATGGTGTCTCTGAAATAGATTGCATCAAAGACTTATTGGGATTAAAAAGTAATAGCTATTCAGAGTAATACCTGAATACTAAGAGACACAGATATATCAATTTACTCAGCTAAAGAGATGACATGAAATAGCACCTACATTTCAAAATCACTACTTTGTCTGTAACAATTGACTTACATTCTCCAAGTACCATCTGTTATCTGCTGGGAAAGAGGGTACAGGTTTTCTAATGGGGATGTGACAAAGATTATAATCTATATTTGTTACCATATAGATTCAGTTGCTGGAGAGAGATCCAAAAGGATACAAGGGTAAACAAGTTAAAAATGTATGTCTCATGCAAGTGAAAATCCTTCTGTAAGCAGACAAAAACTTTTAAGGTGGCACCAGCAGCGATGCAATTCTTTTTATCTTGCTGCCACATTGTCCCAACAGTGCTACCTTGGTCTTCATTTCAGCTCGCACAAAGGAGAAAGGCAAAGGGACAGGATCATTGCTTCATTTTATTGACAACATCCAGAAATTGTCCTGTCCACTGTCATTCATATTTCACTGTCCAGCACTTGGTCACATAGCCACA